TTTAGAGTTAGTTTTCTAGAAATCTACTTGTGGAGTGGAAATGGGTGTTTGGGTATTTGCAGGATGTACAAAGATTGTTAAAATGCATGGGCAGATGATGTTTTCTGGGAAAAAACAAACTTTGTGTTTTCTAAATGATAACCAAACCAGACACAAAGCACTGTTCTGTTCAACTCATTAATGAAACTGACTTCCCCTGAGCAAGCCTCCTGTTAATGTTTGTGTTACCTGAATCACTCCTTGGTTTCTACACCACCACAGCTCTCTGCTAACGGATTGTCCTGTACACTGGTTGTGAGCCTAGCCTCATTTCTCCAGTCCTAGAACTGACTTTCTGTCAGGCCTGTCTACTGCTGACATCTGGGCCTTCATGGTCTTCCAAGTCTTTCCTTCTCTTAACTCACTTGAATATTTTGCCTATATTCTTTTATCCAGGAGCTTACTTTCCAAATGTGAGACAACTCTCTCAACATTTCTAATGTTCCAGTCCTTTCTGTAAAATATTAATATGGGGATGTTCTCTCTCTCTCTCTCTCCCCCCCCTCTCTCTCTCTCTCTCACACACACACACACACACACACACATACACAAGAGAGAGAGAGGAGAGTAAGGAGGCAAGGAGGAGAAGAGGAGAGAAGGAGGGGAGAATGCAGAGGTTGCAGAATGAGGAGAAATCAATGGAGTTGTAAGAAAACTGGGGGATAAAGACAGCTGCAGACTCTTACACGGAGATACCTGGAGGCTGCCATTTAACTGAACTTCTTCACTAGGCTAGTTTAAACTGAACAAACTTAACAGAGGAGAAAGGACACTTTAGGTTGAATAAGAACTACTGTTCAAGAACTCTAGTTGAAATGTCAGTAGGCAACCTGGAAGTCAAGTGAGAATTTTGACCTTTCTCCTGATCTATGATGGCTGTAACCCATTCCTTTGCTCCACCCCCAGCTTAATTCTAGGCAGGGATTCTGTCTCATCAAGATTGGCAACCTTCTAGAGCGGGTGGAAAGAGAAAACTCCAGAGGAGTGAACTTCCAGGAAATTCCCTACATTCCTGTAACGCCTGGCCTGCCCGTTCTTCCTTGGGGCCTGGTGCCCGCTGATGTCGTGTTGGCCCTCCAGGGTTCCAGAGAGAGGTCTCAGAAATGCGTGAGGGTCATACTGTCAGCTGCTGTTTGCCAATCCTTCATATGCTCACCCTGCAAGGCAGGCACAGATATTGTCTCCTTAAATCCCAGCCCTGCCTCTTGCCCTTTAGCGAGTAAACTCTGCAACTGAATTTATACTAAACCTGACCTATTGCCCAGCTGAATGCAGTGAGAATTGGGGGACGGAATTGAGGGATCGCCTGTGCCACTCAAAGGCCTTTCTTCCCTTAAGAATAGAAAGCCTACCAGAGAAAAACAGCTCGAGAGCTCCCAGCGTCATTGTGTTGTGGCCCCTGCAGAATGAGTAAACTCTCTGGCTGTCAAAGACCTCAAGTCATTAGCATCAGCTGCTGCTCTAAAGGACAAGCCAGCGCCTCTAAGTGGCTTAGCGCACAAACGAGGCTCCCGAGACAGTCTCACTCATGTGACTCCATCACTCCTCCATCAGCGGCTGGATGTGAAAAGCTCTTGAGAGCCCGTCTCAGTAATAATTTTTATTTTACTTTGAGCCATCCTCCCTTTACCCCGAGGTCTTAGAATCCCTGCCGCAGTTCCCATTATGGGACCCCCTTGGGGACCACACAGTACACCATACAGAGGGCGAAAAGCTTTAACACCTGAGTCCAGAATCAGGCTCTTTCCAGCAACGCTCTCGCAGCCCATACCCACTCGGGGACCCTTGTCTTGGGACCTGAAGACAACTGAACATCTAAAGGAGGTTTGGCAGCATTCCAGATTTATCTTCTTATCCCAACTCTTGGGACTGGGAGAGCTAAGCCAAGTTCTTACCCAAGTGCACCCCTTGGTTTCCCGAATCTACGAGGGACTCCTTGTTAGGAAGGGAGAATGCCTTATAAGACAGCCCAGTTCACCTCCTAGGCCACTAGCCTAACAGATTAGCTGTAGATCAATAGCCAGAGAATCCCTCTGGGAAAATCCTCACCCTTTCTTTGGGCCACAGCACTCAAACCTAGGGGACATGTGCAAATAGTCAATGCGCTGGCAACATAGCCAGCTCCTTCTCCTGGGTCCTCCTAGCAAAGCAGAAAAGAAACAATCTGCTTCTTCTGGATACCTTCCTTCCAGAGCCTGAAACTGATTTTGCCATCCCAGGAGTCCCAGAGTGCCCCAGCCTCAGGAAGAGGCCAGGTTTGCTGCTCTTGAGGAGGCTTTACCACTTGGGGAAGGAGCTCAGGATCTGCCTGGAACTGGCAGGCCGGAGAAGCCAGGCGGAGGGAGCTCCCAGACCAGCAAGAGTTAAAGGGAGGGGACGTGGGCTGTCACGCGTCATTGGGCAGATTATGTGCAGCAAACAAAAAGTGTGTGTCTGCGTGCCAGTCAGTCACTGCATCGGGTCCATCTGTACAACTCGCCTCTCTCTCTCTCTCTCTCTCTCTCTCTCTCTCTCTCTCTCTCTTCTTTCTATCTGCACCATCTCTCTTCTCTCTTCACTCCTCTCTGTTTGGACAGAACCTACTAGACTGACACCGACACCTCTTGACATGGAGATACACTAATGAAATAGGCAGAAAGGAACACTGGGTTTCACCCTCTCGGTTCCAGGTGGCCTTATTTGGGCGACTCGGTCCTGACCTTATTTCTGGTAAGTCTATTTGTATTGACGTGGGAGGGGGATGGGGAAAAGGCAGGTTGAGTGGAAAGAGTGGGAAAAAATCGCCTCCTTTCTCCTCGTTTTCTAAAAGATAGGAGGGAAACGATTACTGAATGCTATTTCCACTGCCGATAAGATTATACAAAGGGAGGAGCGGGTGGGAGCACTTTGCTGGAGAAGCTAGGGTCTGGGGAGCCCCGGCAGCCAGACAATGCCAGCCCGGAGTAGAGGGAGCGCATCAGGCAGCGGCAACGGCAGCGACCGGCTTTCAGCGAGCCCACCCGGCTCTAGGTTTCCACAGAGGATCTACGGAGGAAGAGAACCCGGGGCCTAGAGATGGGCGTCGGGCTGTGAAAGGCTAGCTAGGTTCTGCCTATTGCTTAGTGTGGATGATTTGTGTCGTGGCGGCCACCGTGACAACACCGACCGCTATTAGCCCAGGCGTGGGACCTTTTTGCTGTATTGTTAGATAGAACTGCATTTTAATGACTGCGTCCCTGCTATTGCTGAAGTGGTGGGCACTCTCCTGTCACAATGAAACGCTTCCATGAACGATACTTTCAAAAGCGAGGCAGAAATCTAGGTACAAAACGTTGAAATGCAAGCAACTGGGGGAGAGAGAGAGGGATTCTGCTGACAGGGAGCCAAAAGAACCTGTATTCTGCAATGTATTTGATCTGCAATTGGAATCCAGAAAGGGACGGGATGCAGCCAAGACAGAGTGTCGTATCCTAAACTTTCTATTTTGTGGCTATTTTCCTTATTCCCGCTGTCTGGAAAGTATACTTGCCATATGGGACATGCCGGAGAATGAATAGAAAAGAGGCTGACGGAAGTTTCAGGCATTACCTTTTAATCACATTTGTAAGACTAATTGGTTAGTAGATGCTGATAAAAAAAATAACACATCGCCGATATTGTTCTGTAATGAGCTGCAAGCTGTACTAGAAAAGAATAAGATTGATGCTCCCCCTGCTATTTAAATTATATAAATACAGAGAAATTACTGTCAATGGTGAAATTACTAGAGAAAAAAACGCTGCAGAGGATTCATTAGATCACTCAGAAAACTGATATGGCTGGCTAAAAGCTGGTTTAAATATGTTAACTCACTGCTTTCTTTAAGTCCTAAGTTTTGTAGGGGGTGTCCAGCGGCCGAGGAAGGAAAACATCCCTGTATGACAGCTTAATAGGGAGCCCTCCACTGGGGCATTACTTTCTAAATTGCTGCGGATTAAACAGCTGGAGGGCCCACTGAGGACCATTCAAGCAGGGCTTCCCCCTCTTGCCCAAACTGGGTGGTATCCGGGGATGTATCTCAGACAGGGGACATTTCAGGCCTGCCCTGTACCTGCTCACTTCATGGGCCACAAGCGACTCAATCCACCCCCTTGTATAACAAGGTAACTGGGATTCAACCTCATCCATAAATAAGCATGTCGAGAAAAAAATAATTACCTCTGCTTGCTGCTTTTAATTAAAGCCTCGGAGGGACGGTGTTGGATTATGGTAATGAGCAGACATGCATCCCTTCTTGTAGGCTGCAGAGAAAGGTTAGCTGACACAGAATTAGTGGCCCTGACACTCCACTTGAAATCCATTCGCCATGCTCCGCTGTCCCCGCCTGCTAGCTAAGGCTGTTGTCCTCGTTAAAAGGAAAGAAGAAATTAAATCGAGGCACCGGGTCCAATATGTAGGAAGGCAAGACTTTCCCCCAAGGTTTAGAAGTTTCGGGGGTTTTGCATTCAGTCAGGAAAAAAAAAAATCTATATACCCCGGTTTAAAAAAATACCCCACCTTCACCCTAAAGTCCCACTCTATGTGTGTTAAAGTAGTGTAGCTATTATGATCCAGTGTTCATGAGCTCTTTATTTTCTTCTATATACCCTGGTTTAAAAAAATACCCCACCTTCACCCTAAAGTCCCACTCTATGCGTCGTAAAGTAGTGTAGCTATTATGATCCAGTGTTCATGAGCTCTTTATTTTCTTTTTCTCGAGCAGGAAGTGTGCTCTCGAGATTCCCATTCCAGATATTTAAAAGGAGAGAATAATACTTCGAAGTTGGCATCTTTAAACCCTGCCAGATTGGTCTGCTTTATTTTTAAAATAGGAGCTATGTAAAAAAGCCGGCAAAGTGCAAAGAAAATATGTCTAGTAGCAGCGGAAAAGCTCTGCCGAGGTTCATAGCAGAAAAGGCAATGACAACTTGCTTCTTGTCCTGTGTGTGTATCTGCCTTTAGTGATGGAGGAGTCGGGCATCCAGAGAGGCATCTGGGATGAAGACGCCAAGGCTGTCCAACAATGTCTGACAGATATTTTTACCAGTGTATATACAACCTGCGACATCCCAGAGAACGCGATATTTGGTCCCTGTGTTCTGAGCCATACTTCCCTGTATGACAGCATAGCCTTCATAGCCCTCAAGTCCACGGACAAGAGAACCGTACCTTATATTTTCCGGGTAAGTCTCAGCTGGTACAGGTGTCTGAGTGTTAGCATTCCTGTTGGGAATGAGCAAGGTGCCATCCTAAGTGCAATGAGATAATTCAAACAATCATAGTGAACACAGCAAAAATTCGAAAAAAAGAACTAGACTCGAATTCTCAACCAATTTTCTGAGAAAGTTTGACTGAAAATTACCAAGGATTTGTAAATCGGTGCCCAGGTTCTGGGTTCCCTGTAGATTAGGACTTCCTAAATTACTAAGGAGGCCTCTCTAGGGCTGGAACTATTTACATGTTAAGTACTCCCTGGGAGTACTTTTACAACTATTGAGTATGCTTGTTTGCTCTCCTCATCTCCTGAAGTTGTTTTCTTTAGTTAAGGTGAGGTAGGGTTCAGAGTTTGTTTTTAAATAATAAAAATATTTGTTTTCTCAGCCAAGCATTATTAAATCCACATTTGTGTTTGTAATAGGCCTCACATTTCCTAGGCTTTCTCTTTAAGGAAAACGTGTTAGTCCTTCAAGCCACAGTTAGGAAGATGGGCATAATTGCCATAGAATAATTTCCAAGATCCAAACTTACTTGCTTGCCTCTTATGTCTGAAACACACGAAATTCCCTTTTCTACTTCTGCGATAACGGAAAAGGAAATTCTGAATAGGCTAATCTATAAATCTGACTTAGTGTCTCGAAGGATGGTTATCTAGCCGGTTGACTACAAATATAAGGACATGGTCCGACTCAGGTCACGTTTTGAAAGCTTAGTTTACAATGTCTGGAAAAACAAGCAAACAAAAAATCAAACAGAAGAAAAAGCCCTTGTTTCTCTGGTTTCTGTCTTTCACGCTGACGCCCCTTCTTGTCTTTCTTCAACACTCTAGGTAGACACTTCGGCTGCAAATGGTTCCTCAGAAGGTCTCATGTGGCTGCGGCTGGTCCAATCAGCCAGAGATAAAGAAGAGCAGAATCTCGAAGCTTATATAAAAAACGGACAGCTGTTCTACCGCTCTCTTCGCAGGATTGCCAAAGACGAGGAGTTACTCGTTTGGTACGGGAAAGAACTGACTGAGTTACTCTTGCTCTACCCCTCTAGATCCCACAAAATGAACGGTAGGTTGGCTTGCGACCTGCGTGTAGGTTCGTTGCTAGCTAGGGAGAAGGGCGGGGAGCAGTAGGGACTAACTGAAGAGCCTGGGCGCACCTTGCTTCCACTGGGCATCTCACGGGATAGCGGGGAGCTTCTGAGATGTTTGTCCAGAACGGAGCTGGGACAGAAAGGGATGGGAAAGTTGGGGCGCATCTGGCTTGATAAATGTACTTCAGCGAACCAAGAAGGAAAGTTGCACTAAGTAGGACAGGATAGTAGTATATTCTTTTCTCGGGCATTCAGCCGAAAGAGATAAACTGGATTTGTTATGGGGATGATGGCTAAGTGGCCTGGGGGCAATGCTGACTAACCATGTGGTGTGTGTGTGTGTGTGTGTGTGTGTGTGTGTGTGTGTGTGTGTTTGCTTGCTAAGCAGGGTCGTCCCCTTACACATGCCTGGAATGCAGCCAACGTTTCCAGTTTGAGTTCCCCTATGTGGCACATCTGCGATTCCGCTGTCCCAAGAGACTTCACAGCGCTGAGAACAATCCCCAAGACCAACAAGGCGGCGGCGGCGTGGGCACCAAGGACCAAGGCTGTGGTGGTGGCAAAGAGCAGCAGCAGCAGCAACAGCAGCAGCAACAGGAGGCGCCCTGGGTCCCGGGCCCCAAGTTCTGCAAAGCCTTCCCCATCCACCACTACACGGCGTCGTCCCCGGAGGCTAGCAACCCACCGGCCGCCGCAGGTGCAGGCAGCGCCAAGCCGTCCACAGACTTCCACAACCTGGCCCTGGGACTGGAGAACTCCCGGGGAGGCAGC